TAGTAAAATGCTTTTTTAGTTCCTCTGGCTGATGTACAACTTTTAATTGTGGATTTTTTCATTACAACCAAGCACACGGTTTTCTCTAAAAAAAAAAAAAAACGTGAGGCACAGATAAAAAATAACACCGAAAGAAGAACCAAAATTTTTAATATCATTTAATTTTAGCTAAAAAATCTAACTCATTTTAAAATTTTTCTTGTAAACAACCTAAATCAAAATCGTTCCCCTTAATATGCTTGTTTTGACCATCACAAAATACTATTTTATGTTTGCATTGCATTAATTTTTGACCTAGTTATGAGAGTAGCTTCGCCTCCATTAACTTTCTTGAATCAATTTGGCTGCAGTAAATTTTGAAAATTGCATTTTTCCACGCGTAATGAGCATCATTGCAGAAGCAAATAGTATAAGGACTTGAAATTGCATCAGATGGCTCATTGTCGATTTAGTGATTCAGAGCATGAAAATTAAATTAACCCGATTTTGCTCACGTACCGGGAAGGCTCGGGTGTAATTTATTAATTTAATCCGCTCTCCCTGTGAACAAGTACTTTATGAAATCGAACAGCTGTTGCTGCTGTGTGCACCATAAATTGCTCCGATATTGCACAACACCGAGGCTACTTTTCCGCCGATTTGCTTCACAAATGACTCGCGGACGAGGGACACGCGTGTTGGTTTGGAAGGAATGCGGCATTTAATTAACGCAACGGTGGTTAGGCAATTCGCTGGACGCGCGAGTCCACCCGGTTGCATAGTTTACAACGCTTTGCAAGCCGTTGACAGGCAGCACAAAAGGGAAATCGGGGAGTAGATAAAATTTCCAGTCGTTGGTTGTGCCCGTTTTCCGCTTTTGTGTTGGCTTCATTTCACGGCCAATTTATTTTCCGTCGCCAGTCGCGCCCTCAATTAAAGGCAAATCAGAGCAGAATTGCATGAGCTTGGCGAAGGTCGATTTAAAAGTGGATCTCAATTAAATAATGAAACCTTGACACAATTACCTGCATTTTTTTTATGGAAATATCAAGTTATTTTGAAGATAAATAATACATTTTTCAATTTATCAAATTAAATGAGTAAAGTTTATTGATTTAAATAAGAAAATTAATATAAAATTAAAAGTTTTTTAAAATATCAATCAAAAAAATTTCAGTGCGTGAAATTTATTGATATAAATTCAAATATTTACAAAAAAAAAAAATCAAAAAAATGTAAAACGTAAACCATAATCACGAAAAAATGGTAATATAGAGCTTACAAAATTAGATTCTCCCCACAAACATATTGGAAAAGCTCCGGGAAATTGAGCAGATATTGTGTGCATATCTGGAGTTTCATCCACATCCGAAAGCAAACGGAGCGAGAGACCTCATAAAAAAGGCAGTCTCGTCTTCTTGCGCACACTAGATAAAAAAAAGCGCACATGACTAAAGAAAGGGGATCGAGTTTCAAGTTTGTGTTCGGTGGGGCCCCTGCGCGTTTTCGTCCACAAAAACCAGCAAATCCTTTATTAATGAGGTGTACCCGACTCTCTGTCGGATCGTTGACTATAAAGGGCTGCACTTTTGACGGCGAACGAAACCAACTTTGCTTCAAGACGGTCGCAAACTGTGCTGCCGCTTTCCCAACGGATTGTCACTTTGGCTCTCGGCCACAGCAATGCGCCCGCCGCTGTCGAATAAAGAAAAGTGAACAACGCTGCCGGCGATAATTGAAAGCTGGAAATCTGGAAAATCCGCTCTTTTGACACTCCACTTTTATCTTTCATTGGTGTCACTTTCTTCGGATCGCGCCAAGACTGCAGAATTGATTTGAGTTTCGTATATATCATGGTATTTTTAGCACGGAGAGTGAAAATATATTATAAGCTTAGTTTTTAATAGGAAATATGAATAACGAAAAATGGCTCAGTCATAGCCAAACAATAATATTTTGCTTTATTTTGACATTTTCCTATGTATTTTTTGTAAAATATTATTTTCAACAGAAACTGAATCTAAGATGCAGCAAACTAGTTTAATTTAATAACATCTAAAATTTGAATTACTAATGTAAAGCTCAATAATAAAATTTCTTTATAATAAAATGCATTTTTACGTTTTTTTTTTAATATTAATTACTAACTTTTATTGTATTAATATTATTATACGATATAACACAATTATGTTAATAATTATGAAATACTTTACCAATTTGTTTGTTATCACAACTATTTTTTTTTAATACTTCAAATTCTACGCAATCAGTCAATAAATGAAGATGAAATGAAATATAGCAAAATTACAATCACAGTCTCACAATATGCTTTGTTTGTTTAATATAAAATATGTATTTAATTAAATATTATCTTTGCGTGAAGTTAATAGTGACTGAAATACTTCAATGGCCATACCCGGTCAATTGAATAAATACAAAAAACAAAATTAAAACGACGTGAAAATTTTTTATGTTCACCGTGATCTCCGTCTAATTGAAAAAATTATTGCATGATAATAATCAAATTGTGATTTATAATTTATGATTTTCACATAAATGTGCAAATTTAACAATTATTGATTTTTTCCCGTGAAGTTTTTTAAGAAAAACATATATGTATTTTTTTTTTCATCTCAAATATTACATAGTTTTTCTTTATAATTTTGAATATTTGGATGATGTTTCTCATAATAGGCAGAGATTTCCTGTTTTAATTAACTTAATTTGCAACTAAGTTGGAATTATCTAGAAAAATATTTTCAAACATATAAAAATTATTATTAGAAAAAAGATTGGGGTTAAATTTTTACTTTTTCCGTAAACAGCAAAAGAAAATGATCACCCCTTGGGCTGAATCCACAACACGAATCCGATCCAGACACGAGTGTTTGTGATTTTCCCACAGAACACACACGCGAGGGTGATATCCGTGCAGGCCAATCACAAAGAAAGCCTCTCGACCCTGTTCTCTCTTTGCGTTGAAAGGTGTTCCGACGAGAACACAATAAATTCACGCAAGAGCGCTTTTTCTTCCGACTCTCTGGTTGCGCCATTCGAAACCATTTTCGCGCCAGCAAGTAGTGACCTTTCTCCATTAACTCTTTCTCTGTAACTATACGGAAGGGTTAGCAACGAATGGCTGCACACGCGTGCTGATAGATAGTGTTGGCGGACGCCAGGATTAGCTGTTTAATTAGCATATAGTGATGATTAATGACTGCAGATTGCGACTCGATGGATATAAATTACTGGGTTATGCGGTGCCGATTGAAATCCTACTCTTGATGCATCGCAATGTTTAATCAAAGCAAACATTGACCAATGCCGGTTTTACTTTTACGTCAGCATTTCACTGAAGTTTATTTACTTTTAACCCACATTTCTTGCAATTAGTTGCAAGTTTTCATGTTGATTGATTAACTCGATCAATTGAATAACAAATAAAAGTAATAAAAACAAGGATCGTTTTCTTCTTATTCTAAATTCTAACAAATGAAACTATCCTCGAGTGCCCATTTCCTTAAGAGTTTTATTTGTATTGTTAACTCTGCTAATTAGTCATGAAGGAATTGGAAAATTTGGAGAACAAAAAAGCAAATCACATAATTTTTTTTATACAATTTCAAAAATCTGTACTCTTTGTTAATGAGATTTCTTTTTACGTATGTATTGATTTAAGACTGAGTGAAGCGCACACAAAACAAATCAGAAAATAATTAGTCACTCTATTTACTTATTATATAATTAATTATTTTAAGATTTGCTTTTTTTATTTTACTATTTAATTGTGACAAAACTATTGATATCAAAGAGAATAAAGCAAGTTGAAAGGGGAAAAAATAATTTTCAATCATTACCAAAGCTGAAAGGCAGCAAAAACCAGAGAGGATTTTCAGCATTTATAATCAAGAGCAGCTTCAGCAGAGCCGTTTTCTATGTGCTCGGACTGGAAATTACAAACGACTGCGGCCCTTTCAGAGTTTTGGGGCCAAAGACAAATGATGTCGATATACCAGTCGCTGCGGTTGTCGTAATTCACGGACCAGAGTGGACGCAAAAGTCCTTTCACGGTTTGGGATATTTGGCAACGCTTTTTGGCTGCTTTTATGACACGGTCAATGGCAAATCGGACGCAACGGAAGCGTTTTTTTTTTTAACAAGCCAGTGCTTTTGATTTACCACAAAAGTCATCGTGGACAAAACAAGCTTTGTTTGCGTAATAAAAATTGATATTTTCACGGTAAATTGATGTTTTGAAACGTTAAAAACACACAAAAGAATCCAAACATCACGGCCTGATGTTTTGAAATTTGCTGTTCTATAGCTTGGAAAATTTCTATTGCACTGCATATCAAGAGCTTAATTTTTAAATAATAATTAATTTAATAAAGTAAATTGAAGTAATAAATATTTAATATAATAATAACAATTTAATATATTTTAATAAATTGAAACTTTAGTTTCTTTGTGTTATTAAATGATTTTTAACTTTATTAAATCTAACTTTATTTATATAATTTTTATATAATTTATTAACTTGGAATTATCATTAAAAAATCGAGTTGAAATCAAAATTTTAATTTAATTTAATAATTAAACATTCATTAATTTATAAATGTCTTATCACAGTTAAATGCAGCACTAAAATATAGTTATTATTATTTAGATGATTAAAAAGCAAACGAGCTTAATAAAATAAATTCTTTTGATTATTTTAATTTCTTTTCATAAATTCTGAGACTCTTTTGCATTTCATGACTAATAAAGTGCAGAACGCTCTGGTCCATTCAGCGAACAAACCACCCTCCTACGCAGCAGCATCTCTCAGTCAATCAAGTGCAACAATGAGACGAGAGTTTGATTCCCCGGGGCAACAGTCGAACACACACTTCTTGCTTCTGCAGTTGAGAGTCCCATGGCAAAAACAAGCTGCAAATGTCAGTGATTAGTAAAGTGTGTCAATCCCAGACGTCCCCGCACCCTTTGTCAAGGCAGGGTATAAAAATCACGAGTCGTCTCCACTTGTCCTCAGTATCTCGTCAAGATGAAACCGATTCCCACACTCGGACTGCTGCTCCTTGTTTGCTCAACAGCTTTGGCGAGCGGCGGCGACAAGGATGGATTCAATCTTTTCAAAGGTTTTAAAATTCTTATTTTTCTATTTAAAACTCTAATGATTTCGGTTTCAACACATTTATATATATTTTTTTAATTAAATTTCAACATATCTGGTAGAATAAAGTTTTTAGGACTTTTTTTATTTGTAAATCACGTATTTTTTATTTTTAGATTTGACACTTGACTGCTCCGCGAGTATAGAGATTTATTTTTTACAATCCAAAAGCCATTTATTTTTCTATTTAAAACTCAAATGATTTCTGTTTCAACACAGTTATATTTCTAAGATGAATATTTTTACTTACAAAATATCTGGTAGAATAAATTTTTATATAAACCTTTAGATTTGGAAATAACGTATTTTTTAGACTTGACTGCAAACATGGAGATTTATTTTTTACTATCCAAAAGCCATTTATTTTTTTCTATTTCCAGACTACTTGAGAAATGGAAAAGAATACGACTCGCTGCTCTCCGGCGAAGTCTCTCCCAAGTTTTTGTGTGAGCGAAAACATTGTTCTTATGCCGCAAGACTTAACTCATTTTTTGATCTGTGCATGAGGATCTTACAAACCGAGTTCTTTCCAGACTTCTACAGGGCGCCTCCTTCGCTCCTGCTCCCAGGTAAGAAGAACAAAATCGTCTCAATCAACCAACCATCCAAACTCAATAAAACTCTGACCAAGCTGATTGAATAAATTTGTGTGCTGAAGCCAAATCTCTTCCGATCCTTGCCCTAAGTGCGGCTATCCAATCATGTGAAATATTGCGTCCCACGCAAAACAGAAAATTGATTTTGTTTATTTCCTGAATTTCATTTTTTTCACTTGAAAGGATCGCTATAAGCTCTCGTTTATAAATATTATTATTAACAGCTTTCAGAACAGGTAACTCTTATGGGCGAAAAAAGTAGAAAATTTAATTTTGAAATGATTAGCAAGTAGGTGATTTTACTTAAGTTTGTTGAAAGTGGTATTCTTACATCAAAATTACTTAATTTTAAGTTATTTTAAGGTGTATTTGGGTGCAATTTTTTATGGATATAAACGACTCCTTATTGATAAATTTCGGCCCGAAATTTTTCAACCACGATTCTTTTATGGATGCAACGATGCAAGGCCACACTAGGAGATGATTCCATGAAAGAAAATATAGGGTCCATTCCATGGGATTAATCTTAAGATTTGATTGTTTGAAATTTAACATTGCTTCTTATGGGAATTTTTACTTTTTCCCAATTTAAAAAAAATCGGCCCGAAATTTTTTGCTCAAAATTTTACAATTTACATTTTAAATACTGCTGAACAAAACTGCAAGATAAAATTTGGGTGTTCATGGACATAAAATTTAATCATATCCTAACATTACTCTTATGGAAAAATTTGCTACAGCCTCCTTGTGTATCAATAAGGAGCCCTTAACCATTTTAGTAAAAATATGTGAATTAATTTTATAACTTGGTTAGTCAAAATTGGATGAAATTTACTCAAATTGGTGTAAAAGTGCGAAAATACTTTAAAATGTCTTCATCAAATTAGTCCTAAAGTAAAAATTTGTCAGTCTTTGCTTAAAAATAATATTTAAATTTTTTCTATATCGATCTTTAATATTACTTTTTAGTTTATTAATAATAAAAAGCAATTGTTCACCTATTCAGAATTTCTCCTGGATTAAGATACACAATCTGGGATAGAAATTGAAACAAATATATATAGTTTCAAATCAATTTCCTGCGTGTTGCAAGAAGCAGTGCGAAAGTAATAAAATTTCTCTGGCTTCTTCAGAGGGTGGCGGCAGCTCGAAGAGGAACCAATTTTGGCGCAGTGAGCTCCCGAGCAGGTGGTCCAAATTGGCACGGGCGTTGAATGATTGTTTGCTTGCAGGTGTGGGGCGCAAGGACTTGGAGGAGGAAGGGCCGCAGGAGTCCCAAGGCGCCGCTCGAGGTTTGTATTTACCCGTCAAGCCTTTCAATTAACCGTGGCTGAAGCGTGTCGATAATAATTACCGCTTGGCGCGCACCGTGTAGAAGTGGTCCTTTCACCATAAGCTAACTTAATTAGGTTTTGTTCTAATCACTTAAAGATGACAGCATTTAATTAATGGGCCTGCCAAAGTCATTCACCTCAAATTTGCTCATTAAACTAAAAGCCTCGTTTTTTACTGCAAACCATTATTCGCCAAGTTTTCATGAATTTTTTTTGTAAAAGCAGGGGTTTTAATTATTCACGTCCTACAATTATTTAAAGTAAAGTTTAGCGCTTGTTGCTAAAAAGCCTTCCCAGATGAAAGCGCGTTTCAGTTTCGCTCGGTGGTTAAAAGGCAGCCCTTTCCTTTAATACGCCCGCAGAGAAAGGGAGTAATAAATTTAGCAAGCGTTCATTGGGGCGAAATGAAATCCTAAAATACACCCCTCATAAATTTGTGAAGTGTAAACTTGTTTCTTTATATAGCGCTCGCCAGCAAGAACCCACTATCTTTATATAATCTAGAAATCTTCATTTTATCGGGCGTTGATTGAATTGCACACAGCGAAAAAAATTTGCTTTACAATATGAAGGGAATTCCAGTCGAAATTCTTAATAAGATAAAAGCATTTCAATTTCGTTGAGCATTAAAATGAATTCTTTATGTTTAGTCTGTTATTAATAAAAAAAAAAAAAAACGCATGAAATGAACACATTATTTACGTTTCCGTTATTAATTGTTAAGTTTGCTGAAAATTAATTAATTAATTTACAATAACGATTGAAAGTAAAATGTCATCTTTATTTATAAATCCAAAAACTAACAGTCACGTTTTGTTTAATTATAATATATTAAATTAAATTATTTTTTTAATTGTGATAAAACATTTAAATAAAAATTAACAAAAGGTAAATTATAAAGTGTAATAAATATACTCTTAAAAATAATTTTTATAAAATTTTTAATAATATTAAATATTTATTAGCATAACAATATGTTATATTTGTTTTGTAAAAAAATTATATAATTTTTTTAAATCAATATTTAAGTAACACCTAAATTATTTATTGTAAAAACATAAATTTAATATTTATAAATTTTATAATTATTATGTGTCATTTGACTGCTTAACAATTAATTGAGCTCTGTTAAAAGCTTTACAAGCACCAGTCGATATGTCTACGGACTCGGCTGGACTTGTATTAATAATTAGAAAAAAATGAATATCAATTCTTTTTTAAGGAAGTCAAGCAAAACTTTTTCTATAATTTGTCAATTAAGAAACATTAATTTGTTTCATTAAGTCAATAAAAGTAAAAATGTTGGTTTAGTTCTGGCGGTGTCTCGGCCCATCGCAGCTCGGACCTTCCTCGCCAAAAGAGACGTGGGCAGCATCGAGGAGCAGAGGTCGAGGGATTTGGTCAAGAGGGCGTTATTTTCGTGGCCAGCTGAGCCCCGCAGACCCGAAGAGATAAGGTACCGCAAGTTCTTCGCTCCGGATACAGTTTGTAAGTTTTGGTCGTGAATAATTGCAGAATCAAGACGGCGGCCACGGACGGATATTGATTAACAATAAAGAAGGCTCTTTCTCACCCAGCAGGTGATGCATTGTTGTGAAGCAACCCGAGCTCTGTGTGCGTTTTATTATTTGCCACACCTCTCAACCCGCCCGCCGCTTTAGAAAGCTTACCGGGGCTCAATTCCCTCGAGAGAGAGAGACCCGCTGTGCAAACTTTCCTCTAGCATGGGTCTATTTTTGGAACCACAAATAACAATAATAGTAAAAACTGTCCACACCCAAGATGTATATTTTTAAAGATCCTCTCCGGTCAAGTGTATTGCTCTCTATTCTGAAAGATTGCTAAATTTTTGGTATATCTTGTGAAAAACACTATTTCAAAATTCCAAACCGGTGCGTCTCAATCAAAAGAAAACCTAAATACGAGTGATTCGCGCGAAAAACATGTGAAAATTGAGTAGCCAATCAGATCCATCAGTTTGTTCCAAAAACTACCAAATTTGGCCACATTGGCGCTGCGATCGCTGATTTTGCCCCTAATACCCCACGGTGCTGCAGAAAACTTGGAAAAATCAGCGATCGCAGCGCCAATGTGACCAAATTCTGTAGTTTTTGGAACAAACTGATGGATCTGATTGGCTACTCAATTTTCACATGTTTTTCGCGCGAATCACTCGAATTTAGGTTTTCTTTTGATTGAGACGCAACGGTTCGGAATTTTCAAATAGTTTTTTCACAAGATATACTCGAAATTTAGCAATCTTTCAGAATAAAGAGCAATAAAATTGACCGGAGTGGATCTTTAACAAATTAGCGGGGAGTTTTTTTTTCAACTATAAACGGAGCAAATAAAATAATCATGAACATTTTTGGTTTCTTCTGTGGCACTTCAAGGTAGGCAACCAGCCTTACAAAGATCTGGATTAAGGAGGTAAAAAAACTGTCATTCACCCAGCGAGACCCTTTCGGCGTTTTCTATTCTCGAGTATACACAAAAACATTGGCTCACGCGCAGATTAAAACTCGATTACTGCAACAAGTGCAAACAAAGAAGGAGCAGGCGCGAGATTGGCATCGTCGAAAAGCGCGTGTAGCCCTTGAGGCGCCGCTCGTGCCGAGAATTGAAATTTAAATTTCATTAGCAAACACCACCAGCCAATGCCGAGCAGGCCAATGCGATCTGCTCTCGCGTGCCAGCGAATAAATTTTTGCTCATATCTGGGAAGCTCTCCAGAAAACGCGTTGAAACAAAAAGAGACAAAAATAGCACTCGTTCGATCGATATATAGAGTTCCAAGTCTTTTAGCTCAGGGGGAAAATTAGCATTGTGGACTCTTCCGAATTTGTTAGCGAATTGCTGGAAAAGTGCCAAAAAAGTTCCAGGTTAAGTGATAAATTAACATGATTAGGGTTATTTGGGTTTTCAAGTTTTGATTTAAATCAAAGGGGACAGAAAAGAAATTGGTGAAAAATTTAAATTTTTTGAAATAAAAATTTTGGGGGTGCCTCACAATGTCCTAAAGACAATGTCCTAACAGAAAATGTCCTAACGGATAATATCCTAAAGAAAATGTCCTACAGAAAATATCCTAAAGAAAATGCCCTAAAATTAAGAATTGAAAATGTCCTAACATACAATATCCTAACGCCTGAAAATTATGAAAAGTCATGTGTCATGTGAAAAAAAATTTAATTTCATCCTTTCAAGTAATTTTGTTTCAAAATTTATCCAGATTCAACATATTTTACGCTTCATACGACTAGAGTCTTTATCGGAAAATATACATATTTAGACCTTTGACTAATTTTAGTAATTTTAGGCTTTTGTAATGACTCGAAAATTTTTTTCAATATTATTTTCTTCGCTTTTGCTACGGGTAGTTGAGAAATGTAGCTATTAATCTTTCTTCTAGACAATAGTTTCAAAGAATTTCGTACAAATCTTCAGGCAATTGTATTTTTGTTTCCTACGAAAAAGTTTACTTAAAAATATCATTCGATTTTTTTTCAAGACAAAAAATATGAAAAATTCTAATTGAAAATATTCGTTAAATTTATTTTCAATGTAAGTTGTAGTAGGCACTTTTTTTTTTAATCGGCCACACTTTTGGCAAGGGTCAACCGATTTGAATGAAATTTGGCAGGTCGGTTGCTCTTAGGGCGTAAACAAATAGTTTAGAAGGATTTTTGAAAATTCTCAAAATTGCCTATTTTACAGGGGCTCAAAGTTGCTGATTTTGAAAAATGGCGTTTTCAAAAATCGAAAATATCTCAGCTCCTGTTGCAGATAGCGCATAAGTTTATATAAGCAAAATTGTAGGTAATTAGACGCCCTACAACTTTTCTATAGTGACCAAGGTCGTAGGTCAAACCTGAAGGTCATTTATTTTTAGCTCATTTTTTTCAGGCTCTACCAAAGTACCAAGACAATAAATTTTTTTGATTCCAAAATAGCCAAAAGTTGCTCCAGTTAGTAGTAAACAACATATCAAAATTTGGTGATACTTATTTTTTTCGTTTTTGAGATATTCCGGATCAAAGGGCAAAAAACGTGGTTTTCCGAGCGTTTTTTGTGCACAATTTATTTTAAACCTCCATAAGTTTTTTCCTGTTAGAGTTAGGATTAAATGTATTATGACAAAAAATAATTGCCTTTAATTTTTCTTGCAGATCATGTATCACACATGGTGATCAGGTCACAAAAGGGCATTGACCCCATGGTGACCTGTGACCTTTTTGAATTTTTTTACGTGTGTGACACATGGATGGAAAGAGGATGTCAGCAGGAACATTTTGGTACCCGGATTTTTGTTCTAGCATCAATAGATGTGAAGTTACATCTTGTTTTAAATAATTTATTCGTCGGATTCCAACTTTTGCTTCACAAAATCTATGATAACTTCACTTGTAATGATGCTAGAACAAAAATCCGGGTACCAAAATGTTCCTGCTGACATTCTCTTTCCATCCATGTGTCACACACGTAAAATAATTCAAAAAGGTCACAGGTCACCATGGGGTCAATGCCCTTTTGTGACCTGATCACCATGTGTGATACATGATCTGCAAGAAAAATTAAAGGCAATTATTTTTTGTCATAATACATTTAATCCTAACTCTAACAGGAAAAAACTTATGGAGGTTTAAAATAAATTGTGCACAAAAAACGCTCGGAAAACCACGTTTTTTGCCCTTTGATCCGGAATATCTCAAAAACGAAAAAAATAAGTATCACCAAATTTTGATATGATGTTTATTACTAACTGGAGCAACTTTTGGCTATTTTGGAATCAAAAAAATTTATTGCCTTGGTACTTTGGTAGAGCCTGAAAAAAATGAGCTAAAAATAAATGACCTTCAGGTTTGACCTACGACCTTGGTCACTATAGAAAAGTTGTAGGGCGTCTAATTACCTACAATTTTGCTTATATAAACTTATGCGCTATCTGCAACAGGAGCTGAGATATTTTCGATTTTTGAAAACGCCATTTTTCAAAATCAGCAACTTTGAGCCCCTGTAAAATAGGCAATTTTGAGAATTTTCAAAAATCCTTCTAAACTATTTGTTTACGCCCTAAGAGCAACCGACCTGCCAAATTTCATTCAAATCGGTTGACCCTTGCCAAAAGTGTGGCCGATTAAAAAAAAAGTGCCAAGTAATAATATTATTATTAACAATAATTTGTATTTGTGGAAAATAATATGATTGTTTCAAACTTTTATACACTTTTATTTTTTGAATTATTTGATCAACTATCTTTTGAAATGTGACAGAGAAGCTCAACAATTAGCATCATTCTTTCTGCTTTTAAGTGAATTCATTTTGGATGTTAGTCACTGTTGAAAAAACTAAATTTTTTAGAATAAATCAACCACTTTTCCGAAATTTAGGACATTTTCTTGAAATTCAATTAGGACAAAGTTTTTAGGACAATGTGCGACCATAGCTTTTAGGACATTATCTTTAGGATATTTTCTTTAGGACATTCTCTGTTAGGACATTATGATGGTACCCAAATTTTGAGATGAATATAGAAAAAAACAATTTTTTAATTTATCTCGGGCTGTGATTTGATTCCCTCTTAAGTAAAAATAATTTTTGCGAGTACTTAAATTATTAAATTTATAATAATCAAATTATTTCATTTCGTTTGAATTGTATCAGGATTTATTAATCGTAGCTGAACGCATTGTTTTGTTTTTTTATGCAGGAAAAAATAAATTTGGTCATCTACGCCATAGACGCGGGATTTTTTTTATATTTTAATTGAAATCAAACAAAATTAATATATTGAATTAATATTGAATTAAATTAATTATCGTAACAATTCATATCACACCATGAAAAAATGGTATCAAATGACATTTGCACGTGGATTAAAAAATACTTGCAATTTCCAGAAATTGATTAATTTGAGATTACGTTTTACTCTGTGAATCGATGCAAAATTGCAAAATTGTTTTCTAAATTAAAACACTGCTGATTTTATTTTTTGGTGTTTCCACGAAGCTGAAATATTAAATTCGTCCCGAAACGACCGATAAATTATTCACACTATCGCACTTCTGCTTTCTCTTGAGCGGCGAAAGAATAAGAAAAGAGGTTTATCCTGGAAAAGCCTCTCCCCGAGGTGAAATATTTACAGCCGGCGCCGCTCGCTACAAAATCAAACTGCTGCAGCTGCCACTTTTTTTTAGCGCGCGCACGTGTGACGCAAACTCTTATTTTGCAGCAGATTTTCCAGGCAAAATTTTTACTTTGCAAATATTTCCGTGACCCAGTTGCCATTAGCGGTGGCAATTCACATTTAATTTATGTTTATCTTGTGCGCAATTGTGGGAAAAACGCTCCTGCAAGCAGTTCTGCTCGTTTTCTCGGTGCGAGTATCAAGATTTATGTTTCCTCTGCGCGGCTCTCGAGCACCACAAGCTTCTCCAGAGCAAACCTGGGGGCTATGCAGCTTCAGATGACATGGCCCTGCTTTTGTGTCTCCACTCAAGAGAGGATTTTTTCCTTTCTTCATTATTCCTTATTCTCATAATTAGAGATAAAAGTGGAATTGTATTATGTTACCGCAAAAATGGAATGAAAAGAATTATGAAAAAAATATGAATTAAATAAAATAGTCTCCAGTAGATTTTCATTATGAAGAAAAATCTTGCTTTTTTCATTCATGTTCCACTTTCCGTTTCCTTTCAAACTTCTTTAATTACGTGTTTGAATAATAAAATAAATTTACAGGAAACTGGCAGCATAAATAAAACCCAATAGAAATGAAAGTTTTCGTTACGAGTTAAAAAAGATTATCTTTGTTTCAAAAGACTTAAAAATAAGAACAGATAGCATTAATTTACTATTCATAATTTCATATTGTGTAATTCGTGAATTAAATTTAGAACGAAATTTGAAGAAATAATTTTGTTACAAATTTATTTTATGGACACTTGGCCGCCACTTTAAGCCCATAACGCAAGCTATATGCATCATAAAGGCACAATCCATTCCTCTTCTGATGAAAAATTACCGATTTTGCCATAATTTAATTTGTGTTTTGCATTTCTCAAGTCCAAAGTAATTTTAGGGCTACTTTATTTTTACAAAGGCGTGGGAGCCAAATTCGGTTTTGAGCAAACAATGGGTATTTTTGTTTCGAATTTGACACAAAAAGGAACCTTTCACATGTAAAACTGGGGTTTTTCGGATCTCAATTTTCACCCCTGGATTATATTTGGTTGATGGAACTTGGTACTCTATAAAAGACCTCTCTCCTCCATATCCACACACATAATTTGCAATTCTATCCTTTGTGTAAAATAAAAGAGGAGGATTTTTAAAACCTGCGAAAGTGAACAATAGCCAAGTAAAGAGTTTCTACAAAGCAGCAATTTTGCTCCGTTACACATCCACATTTTTTTTTTTTCAAACTTCCGCAATCTGGAAACAATTTTTCTTTTACTTTTTCATACCGGCCGCGCTTTCCTTTTTCTACCTCTGTGATAAATTGTTTCCAGTCGAGTATAATTGCAACGAACCCTTTCATCCCGCCTGTGTGTTGTGCGAAAAATGCACGCCCCAAATAGCAAACACACATTCTTTGGAGCGAAAACGCATTCCCCTCTCTCCGTTTTTTCCAACAAAAAAGCGTGCACAGCGAAAATCGTGTTGTTTGCTTTTCGAGATAAAAGTAATCGTTCACCAGCTACGTTGACAGCGGCACTGAAACGTTATTTCCAAGCTGATCGAGTTCCAACTTTGAAATGCATTCGATGCACTTTGTGTAGAGCTGCAAAAGTTTTGTAAATTGGAAACGCTCCACTTTGATGCTCTGGATTATTTCCGTGATTCATCCCCAGTACAAATGCGTCCATATGGGTCTCTTTAAATTTTTCTTTAATTATTTACTTCTATTTTTATACAAAACATTATATTTTTGTATTGGTTCAAACAATAAAATTAATTTTATATGCACATAATTTGACTGCACAATGAAAAAAATGAATAATTTTGCAGTAAAATTTATTTATGAGATTTTGGGGTAGTGTTGATTAAATTATTTTTGTGCGATGACAATGGGGGTCAAATGAGAGCAAAGAAATAACTCTAAAAAGAAAAAAAAATCTGCTTAAGGCCTCCTTATGGCACATACAACTTCTGTTTGCGGAAAATCGGCCCGAAATTTTTGAACCCAGATTTTTTTATAGATTCCTGCCCACACGTGGAGTTGATTGCACAAAGAAAAATGGGGGGTCCCGCGGGTTAATCTTGAAATATGATTTTTTTTAAATTTAACATGGCGTTTTATGGAGATTTTCGTTTTTGGCTATTAAAAAAATCTGCCCGAAATTTTTTGCTCAAAATTGCACAAAATGATAATTGAATGACCCTAAACAGATAAGCAGAAAAAAATTGGGAGTTCATGGGGCAAAAATTTTACATTGAGAGATAAAAAAAACTTCTTTGGTACTCTTAGCATTGCAATAAGGAGTCCTTAAGTTACGAATTAAAAATTATGAAATTGTTGACTTGTTTTAATTTCAAATTTAAGTAGCATAATTTAAGAAAATAATTGTGTGATGCTTTTTTGGCATTTCCAACAACATTTCCGCATCATTAGCTTCAAAAAAGTGATTTTAATAACTATCCCTCCCCTAGCCCGATGAAAAAGCTTTTGAAATGAGACATGAATAATTAATAATAAACAAGCAATTGCTGAATTCAAATAGGTTATAAAATAAACATACAATCGTGTTCATTAGAGCTTAATTGTATATAAACCCGAAATTATCCAAAGCCTCGGCCATATCCGTCCCACTGCTCTTGCTTGCGGTTATAATTGCGTCCGTGTAAGTTTTTGTTTGTTCAACGAAACGGAATATTTAATGATGCGAGCGCTAAAATATTTGCCAGCAAATCTTCCTGTCCAGGAATTCCAGCAATCAAATTAATAATAAACAACCATTTTCAACGCATGCCAACCTGGCTGAAAATGAAGCGCGCAATTAATTTAAACATTCGTCAGCAATGCCAATCCCGGTAGATTATTAATTAATTTTATATGAATTGCACGCTTTTGGAATTTCGGAAATCAAAAACCGAAGCGGCTTATTTAAACAAAATACATGTATCACACGAATGAATGTGATAAACTTTTATTCCATAGACTGTCACGTGAATACATAATTATCTTTGAAAACATCACATAAATTTTTGTATATCACACACGTCGGCACAGAGTAAAGCAAAATGAGAATTAGCGCACACCGATTGAGCTCACACGGACGTCTCCCTGTGGCCGTTGGCCGGTCTTTGTCACAAATTGTGCGCACCGTTGACGACCAAGCGCGACTCCTGAGTGCTGCGGTTCCACCTCATGGGGGTGGCCGCCGCCGGCCTCGGGGGCTCCACGGGCAGTTTCGGGGCGCAGCAAACCACCCGCCGGAAATAGGCGCGAAATCTGACCAAACAAACAAGCCCAACTTATTAAACACTTGAAGAAAAATTTAAAGGTAAAATTTTTCTTCTTCAACCCGACCCTCGTTTTGTTGACAAAAATTCAAAAGTACAAATGCAACCCGCAAAATTCAAGAAATTAAATTTGATCAAAGTGACGACATAACATTATAATATTTAATTAATTTAGCTACTTTTTGTGTGCATTTAGAGAAAACGTAAAATTAAAATCTTTTTAAAATGACAAAACTTCTTAGTATATAAATAAAATGAAGGCTAAGACAAAAAAGTATTGAAGATTAATTAAACTTGTAATCCTCCCTGAACTGATTTTGTTGTCTTATTCCTTTCAAAATTTATGAATACTTGACAAAAATCGGTTACTGAAGATTGCCAATGTTATTTGCCAGTGAGCCGTGCTAAAGGGAAATGGTGCGACAAATTGAAAATGGAAACCAGACACAAACGCGTGGTTATGTAAATCATAACTTTCCCTTCCTGTCACGGAAACTCGGGAGAATTTCACGCATGCATAAGTTATCAGCAGATGACGCAAAGTGTAAACATTTATGCACGAACAAAAGCGTCAAATATGTTTTTATCTTGTACATATTCTAAGTTCTAAGGAATCTTACAGGAAGTTTCTCAAGTATTTTCCAAGCATCAAGAGTTAGTTTCAAACAATTAACCATTGGCAATTAACTGTTCAGCTCCTAAAATTCAGCTTTCCATTATTTACAATTATGAACTTTGCTGCAAGTAGGAATTTTTTATGAAAGAAGACCGAGATTGTCAAAGAATATTTCTCTCCTCGCAATAGCATTCATGATGCTTGACAAAGTTGATATTATTAGCGAAGTTTGCGTGGGATTTATTTAATACAAAATAAATATCCTAAAATTTGAAAATGATTTGAGCTTTCAATTTTTCAACAAAACTTAAAATAATAATAATTTAAGTAATAATTAACTTTCCACCCTCGCCAAAATTGATAAAAATTATTAAAAACATCATTTTTTTCTTCAGACCAAGCAAATTTGATAATAATGAAAAGTTATGAGATGTATAATAAAAACCCCAAATCATGTAGCCCTGGCAACAACCATTATTAAATTTTGAATTGCTAATGATTGCATATGTGGTAATCTATATATGATTTATTAAATTTAAAATTATTGTGAATTTTGTAATTTAAAAAAGAATATTTGGTTTATAAAATTATTTTTTAAATATTAAAAAATTAGTTAAATAAAATTTTATACAAAAATTTAATAATTAAAGATATAAAATATAGTTTTTTTTAATAATTAAAATGTCATAAATATAAAATGTTTTTAAATATAATTTAAATTTCATAATTTGTATTTTTCTCTCATCAAATTTAAATTATCCAACGCTGAATAATTTGAAAATTATTTAGTGCAATCAATTTTTTTAATTATTTTCAAAATCTGCTAAGTGAAAAAGAATAAAATTTTCCAATAATGAAACTGACCTGTGGTTCATGCAGTAGTAGACGAGAGGGTTGACCATGGCGTTGGCCATGGCGAGCCAGTAGAACGCGAGGTACAGGTGCTGCACGTAGCTGGAGGCTGCGATCTCGCGGAAGTGGTAGGCGTAGATGAAGTAGCCGTGGTACGGCAGCCAGCAGACCGCGAAGATGGTCACGACCACGAGGAACATGCGCACCACCCTGCGTCGCGCCGCCTGACGCTGCGTCGCCGCGTCGCTCGCGCCCCACAGCTCGCGGCCCATGCGCCAGTAGCAAACGGCCATCGCCGCCACCGGCACCAGGTACGTCAGCGCCGGAAACACCAGGTTGTACCTGAGGACAAACACACACACAACTCATTTTTGTAAACGCACGCAAAAGGAGCAAAGCTCCCTACGCGTAGTCCAGACTTGAGCGCGGGTAGGTCCCGTCTGGCCACTGAAGAAAGCACAGGGTGCGCGTCTCACCGTTCGTGTGACTGAAACAAACGAAAACTATTTAATTAGCGCACAAATAAATTGAATTGTTCAAATTATTACAATTTGAAAGATGCCTACATTCAATTTTTTTTTTTTTTTTTTTTTTTTTAGGGTCAGGCCTGTGCCCTTTATTGGTGGTACAGAAGGCACCACCCAATTAATTTTATTTTTTATTTTTGGGTTCAACTTTATTTAAAAAATCATCATTTTTTGCAAATTAACTGTCAATTTTGGAGATGTCAATAGAGTCCAATTCTTTCTGTTCTCACATACCTCGCCCCAAGTTGAAGTTATCAATATGAGATTTACACCACTTGATCATCTTAGTTTCAAGGCAAGTTTCCTAAATTTTTATCGAAAAATTTTGAAAATTGCGGGTTTTATGGGACATTTTGAGAAATTCAAAAAACGCAATTATCTCGGCTTTTAGTGGTCGTAGAACAATTTTCCGGGTATGGTTGAGCTCGTCTTGTTAAGTTCTACAACTATTCTATCTTCAACTTGGGGCGGGGTATGTGAGAACAGAAAGAATTGGACCTAGACAATTTTAAATTGTATTTTATTGATGAGAGATGACACGCGAGAGGTATTAAATCAACGATAATTAAAATATTTGGTTGAAGAGGAGATGATCATGGAAATAAAGATCGGGCTTTTCCTCGTTGCAGAAAAATTGTTTTTTATTCAAAAACAAAAGGCTATTAGTCAGCGAGCAGCGCGTTTGCTCATGAATTAGGGTCGCAGACCGTGACCGAAACTGGTAGAGCTAGCCATTTGTTTTTGAATAAAAAAACAATTTTTCTGCAACGAGGAAAAACGGACCTTCATTTTCATAATTAAATAATTCTTAAAAATAATTTGTTCATTGTTAGCTTAAAAGAGTGGAGAAAAAAATTTAAAGATGTTACAAATAATTGTAAAAATGTAAATATAATTTAATTTAAATAAAATTTTAAATAAAATTTTAAATAAAATTTTGAAGTTTAAAATTAAAAAAATATTATACACATTGAATATTTTTGTTTATTTTTGAATTATAAACTTTATTTTATTTTCTCTTTTTACCAATTCTTCTTTATAAATATTTTATTTTTAATAAAATTTTCGATTTTTATTTTAGTTAAGTTATATAAATCATGGTAATCAAACATTGATAAAATAAAATAGAACAAAATTCGATTCTTTTGGTTTTAGTCAGGTTACATAGAAACAATTTTTTTTCCTCTTTTGGATAACAAAAACAAATCAGCAAATTTATAATAATTATCAGCAAAATATGCAAGATAAATTAAAAAACTACATCTCTCTTTGCATTGGAACCTACCGTATGGACAAAAACAAAATAACACAAGATTGAAAACCATGTTTAAATTTGGGTAAAAAGTCCTTTATAATGACGGTCATGAATGTTTGCCCCTCTCTTTGTCATCACAAAAATCATCATTTTTCAGTTTGCTTTGATATTACCAAACAGAAGCAACAAACAGTACCATTCGATACTAATTGTACACCACCTACATAGAAATTTTCTGTTTCGCAAATGAGTTCGATGACGTCAACAAACGTGACAAATACAGCACATTCGAGGAAATGTTGAAATTGTGAATCCGAAATAATAATGCGATGCAATAAGCGTAGAAATTCTGTTGTAAAACTGCAAGAATCCAAAGATAAAAATCATCCGATGCAATTTTTTAACTTATTAAATTAAAAAATGAATCAATTTCAAAAGAAAATTAAAGATTCCTGAATAAGATTGATGTCTATTTTTGCTAAAAACTCTCATTATTTTTACATTTTTTGTCTAAAAATTTTGAAACAATTCGTTCAGATTTAAGCAGCAGAAGAAATTCCAAGGAAATTAAAATAAAATGTTATTCTGACCTGCTCGTCGATGTGGTCGAGTAGAGCAGGGTGGGCAGTGCGAGGAGTGAGCTGAGGAACCAGATGGAAAGCACCGTGAAAAGCGCCCACCGCTTCCGCATGCGTCCCTTGAGCGGCTTCACGATGGCCACGTACCGGTCCAGCGAAATGGCCACCAACGTGAAGACGCTTGCGGCCACCGTCACGTTGGCCACGAAGTTGTTCACCGTGCAGTACGTGGCGCCAAACGGCCAGTCCGAGTCGATCATGTAGATGAAGTTGAAGACGCAGTTGAGCAGGGCCATCATCATGTCCGACACACTCAGGTTCACGAGGAAGTAGTTGGTCACCGAGCGCATCCGTCTGTGCGCTGAAACATAAGAATTAATTAAATTAATAATATCCAAACTTTTAGTCTACAAAGTTTTTTTTTATTATCTGTCAAATTTCTTTAAAATTAATTATTCCTGAATGTGAAAAGTCCATCAATTTTCAAGTTCAAAATTAATTGCTTTATGCATTTTTCCTTCATTTTTGTCTGTTTATAGTTTTTATGCAAATTTATGGTTTTCTTTATTTCTTTTTGCAGCGTATTTATTAGTATAAATAAATCCTCTTCAGATATCAGTGAACCGTAATAAATAAGCATAGATATCTACAATTTAATTATTTTATCTGCAAGTGTTGTCCACAGAGTAATTACTGCGGCAGAAAATGCAACGCGCCAGTAAAAAAAAAATGAAGGAATATGCGGCATCGCGTAAGTTTTCAGTGATTTTTATAAACTGTTGATTGATATAATTGGCACACTTTGGCTTTTTAATGAACGGTAACTTGTCTAATTGCAACCCGTTCCTACGCCTTGCACTTTACAGCATCGTCAATCAATAATGCAAATATTTCTAGCGTAAATTTTTTAATTTTACTGGATTTAGTATGTCACGTTTTTTACCTAAAATTACGGACAAGAGCATAAAATTGACTCATCTGGCTCAAATTGAAAAATCTCACATAAGATTAATTTTTTGAATAATAATTCAAAGAAGGAACACAAAATTAAATTTGGGATATTATTAGATTTATATAAATTTATTTAGTCAACTTTAATTTCAAATCTTATCTGAAGATAATTAATTAATAGATGATTCAAACTTTCCAAAGCGTCTTTCAAATTTTGTTCGTTGCGAGGGTTAGCAAATGACGATATTGATCGATGCTCATAAACCAAAATAGTTTCAGGCGTTAGAAATCTAAATATAGAACAGAGGTGTGAGTTCTGAGAAAATCAAACGTGCGGAGATAAAGAAAGGTTCGCAAATAATGTAAGAAGAGTGAAAGCGAAAGCTTCATGGATTTCAATATTTAATGAGTTGCGAAGAGCTCTGCAGGCGTGTAAATGATTTGAATATTCCATTCAAAGAAAAGACTCGCGTTTTACTTCACGCTTTACTTCACTTAATAAGGCTTCAGCCATCATACCCGTCGCATCGAAAGTAAAATTAATAATTAATTAAAAAATCAGATTTTTTTCCTCTCTCAAGGTAGTTTCAGAATTAAATTACGGTATTGTTGAAAACAGAAATTTTCAACTAGGACAAGCCGGGACAAGCCTATATCGTTCAATTCACAAATGTCGAAATGTCTCCTTGAATGCTCACTTTTTTTTCTTTCAAATTTATTTTTAATATATTTTATGAAGAAATTATAGAAGTTTGCTGTAGATAATAATGATAATTTAATTTTTCACAAAAGACAACGCGACAAATCTAATAAACTGTAATAAACTTCAATTTGCCGACATTCTCAACAGTCTTTCTAGCTTGAGAATTTCGCAGAATCACAGTACGTGCCACTCAAACGTGCTGTACACGCATTTTATTGAACCTTGTTGAGTGGACAAAATTGCCCTCATTTCCTTGAGATTGCATCACTTTCGAGTTATGGAGAAAGCAAGGATCAAACTCAATCTAATTCGTCCTTGCAATAAACCGTCTTGTAATTAATTTCTGCATGTCACGTGTCTAAAGTTGGATGAAGCTCGGCGACAATGGCACAAAGTGAAATGCATTTCCATTTCCATACAATGTTTTCGAGCAAACTATTTTCTTTCCTTTCCGTTTCGGAGAGATATCGAGAAAGAGAAAAGTTTTCCCTCTTTTTGCGCGCCGCCCGCTTGAGCAGGATGTATTCCTGGCCAATTTCCGGAGCCGATCGGTGGAAAAGGAGAAAAAAGGGAACACTGGCCGAATCGCGCTTGAGAGGAGCACAATAATGAAAGTAATTCATGCTAGAGGGCACAAATAATCGCATAAGACTCTTCCCTCGAAGCGAATTGTCGCGAGAGATATCAAAGTAATTGCACAATGGCTGCCTTGTGAAAGAAGAATCTTGTCTATCCCGTTACGTAGGAAGAAGGTCATTCTTAATTTACAAAAAAAAAGAAAGCTGAGAAAATTCCAATTATTGCGATTTGTAATAAATGAAAGTGAGATGAATTGAATTGATAAGAATTAATCTTGAATGATGAAATTTGTTAATTATTTTTTATATTTGATTTTCGTACCATTAAAACAATATATTTTCCGAACTGAAAACCTTTCAAGCAGATCTTTCAGCAAATATTAATTTAACATAACATTATCCGTCATCAAACAGGAAAACATAATGTCAATAATGGAAGTGAACCAACAAAAAGAGTATATTTGTTGGATATTCCGTTGCTTTTCCTGGTTATGTTCCTACTAATTTACAGCACAGCTCAAACGTTTGGAATGGCTTTTCGTAGAAAAACAACTTGATTTTATGCAAAGATAACTTCTAAAATATTAATTAGCTTCCGAAGGTTATTAGCGAATCTTTCAAACAATCAAAAGTCAAGCTTTTGTCAATCAAACCCGACTGCGCGAAGTTTGTCTTTGAATAATTATGCCGCCCTTTGTTGCTGCTCGTATAATTGCAAAGCTTTATAAAATTACGAAATTCTCCGTGTGCCAAGTTTCCTACTCGCGACGTGCTGGAATTTCAGCAACAATTTGCAACTCAATTACTTATTGCCGCCGAGCAGATAATCAAATTACTGAAAACTTGGTTGGCTGCACGAAAAATATAGCAGGAAGTCTTTACAGTCGTTCAATTATTGGAAGAACTCCTTTCTCTCCATATTCATCTTTTCACTTTTGTGCCAACTCAAGCAGAGAACATCGCCAAGCTTTGGTATGCGCATATGGAATAATCTTATTTGAGATGCTTTGCGTCTAAATCTCCATCTTATAGCTCAACCCTTAATTTAAGCAGGTTTTCTAATCCCCATATTTTGGAAATTTGATCATCTCTAATAAAAATCTTGCTTGAATTAATTGGTGTGTTCAATTTTGTATGACATATAATATTATTTTATGTATTATTTTTAATTTTTCTTAATAATAACTTATACTTATTTAAATTAAATTGATATTAATTTTGGAAACTTAATTCAAATTTTATGTTCCATGATTTGTTTTTTATGTTTTTTTTTAATTTATATTTTTATAATTAAATTTTCCATAAGACATCTTGTCAATAATAATGTAATAATTAATCATTTTGGAGCTTTGAAGAATATCATGTTAAAATTTGAAGCAAAACAGTTTCTTTGCAACATTAGCCTAAAATTGGTTAAGGCGTCATTCCCTGGCAGGAAATTGCACAAAGCAATTTTGTTCCTTTTTACTGCTCCCTCCAGAATTTCACGTACTTGGCAGACACAAATTTGCATTTTTATTCGAATCTCACTCACCGAGGACGATCCACATTACGATAGCGTTTCCTCCGACGGCGACGAGCAGCATGGCGCCGAAAACGACGCTCCACACTGTTTTCTGCCACCAGGGCAGGGCGAACGGTTTCGGCTGGGCTGGGAACAGACAGTCCGTCAGGAATTGGCGCAACGCACCCTTTCGCTCGGGGTGCAGGCTGAAGTCCGTGTCGTCCAGCAGCGGGCTCAGCACACCCAGCAGCACCTTCAATCACAGACGTTCCGAAACCCTTTTTAACCGATTTTACGGATTGAAATACAGGGTGTTCATTTGCATCAAAACGGCATAAAAAAAATCAAATAATATAACATATATTGATAAGAAGTTACCAAGGATCAAATAAAAATTTTATTAGGTGGTTCAATCACAACAACTTATCTATATAAAATTTAATATTAAACAAAAAATGCAATTATTTTCCAATTGATCTGACGCATCAAGAAAAATGTTTTCATCTCTTTGGTTTCTTTTGGATATTAAAAAATTTGAAAAAAAAAACTTAATTATATTCTATTATAATTTAATATAAAGTGATTAAAAACTAACAATACGTAAAAATATCTTTATAATACATATATAAATAATAATAATATTTAACTTTTATTTTCAAAAATTTATTGTTTACTTTTAAATCATTTAAGTCTTGCTAAAGAAAAAAATTTTGCTCCATAATTTAAGCGCTAATTATTCCAATTTGATGCAAATTAAATATCACATTTGGTTAGATTTGCCGAATTTGACATTCATTTCTTTCAACTAAGTGCCAATTCTGCCCATCTGCTTTGCTGTTTTCAAATTCCATCTCAGATTATTTTCCCTGAAGGATAAAAACTTGAAAATTTTGAATTTACTTATAAATAATTAAAAAAAATTGCTAGAAATATTAATTCAAATGGGCAACCTTAGCGAGAGTCTATTATGTAATTAATGTAAAATAGTAAAAAAAAATATATATTTATGGAGAGGAACGGGTTTCAGTGCAAGTAACAAGAAGCGAAAACCCTTTATTTTTACTTTAAAGACAGGATATTATAAAACTAACTTGAAATCTTCAAAGAAATGGACTTTTTAATTTCAAAATGCAATAATTAAAATTAAACAACTTATTTTCAATTAGGATTTTTTCTCACTCCGCAAAAAATTCTTATTTCGAATTTTTTTATGAATCTTCAATTTTTTTACAGCTACTTAATTTTGGTAAATAATGATTTACAAAAAAATGAAAATGACTTAATATGATAAAAAAAAACAAGTGTGCGGCGGAATGATCACTGATTGGAGTTCATCACTTTCACTTTTTGCGTGACACACTCGAGAATCTCAAGAGAGACACGGACGGACACGGAAGCGACAGAGAACACACCTGGGTGGTCGCGTTGATGGAGCGCAGCAGGTACGTGGAATTGTCCATGAGACCGAAGTGTCCGAAGCGCGGCATCGGCGCCTCGAGCACCGCGTCCACCTCCATGAGGCGGACGGTGCAGTTGAGCACGGCCTCCGTCGACGGCTCCTCCATGCCACGCACTGACGAACCGGCCCCCGACCGGCCCCCTCCATCTCTCGCGGGCGCACCGTGGCCGCGCACCCTCCGCTCCCGCCCTAATAGCCTCAGGGTCGGTCTCGCACTTGCGTGTGCAGACTTTTTCCTCCTTTTGATTAGACTCGGGCCTTCTGCTCTCACTCAGTTAATTACTTGCCAAACTCGTCTTGATTGATCGCGGCGAAACATTATTTTCGCCGACAGCCCATTTGCTTCTTTTCTGATGTGAACTTCCAGTTCGAAGCAAAAGCAAACCAAGAAGCTGAAGTTTGTATGCAGAACGTGTCTGAAGGCAAAGTTGCCTTAATCAAAAGAGAAAACATAATTCAGAGCTAATATTGCCATTTTATAATAAACAACTTTCCGTGGAGAGAATTTGATAGTTTCATTTAAATCGAAGCAAGTTTACTGATTTATTTCTCCAGACATGCGTAATTATTTCGTAATTTTATTTATGCCATACCATTTTGGCCCAGGCTAAGAACCTGCCATGCGATTTGAATGGCAGATTAGGCTTTGTATCTCCCTCATTAGCTTTGATAGTGGTGGTTAATTATGCAATAGCTTATCCGATACTAATTCTGGCTTATTATGTAAAACAAGATAAAATCAAAATCGACGAAATTTTGGCCTAATTAGAAATTCCGCACTGGGAAACTTTCAAAATATTCAAATCACACATGAGCACCAGAGTTTATTACTAATAAAACCCTTTCTGGAGAAAGAATACGTAAATTTATCTCCAGCTCAATGCAAAGTAAGTTTTCTGAAAAAATTGTAAATTATAGCAAAATATTTCCTTCTTATTTTATTATTGAAAATTTCCCTCACTGCAATTATAGAAGAAATCTAAAAAAGAACTAACAATTTAACAAACTAAACGCAAAAGATTGTGAAAATGAAACAGAAGCGTAATTTAATTGCATATAGTAAGCAATTAAAGTACTGAGGTATCAACTCAAGTAAACTTCCAGTGGCAGCTCTCTAAATACTTATAATTGCACCAATCTTAAAATGATCAAATCGGGGCTGCCGCTTAATGATCACAACTTTTTAACAAGGCTCGAGAGCGATAAAGTTGTCAAGCTTACGAGGCCACGCTCGTGTCAATTAATCTGGTTTATAACGAATGGGATTGAATTACGCTCTTTTATATTTGCGCTTTTTGCAATCGATATTGTTAACATCCCATTTGAATAAAACACTCCTCTTTTTCAATGTCACACATTTTTCTTCCGCTAATTGTTAGAAGAAAATATTCAATTTAAAACTATTTGATTTTATGGATTTTATTAAATTCTTATATTAATTTTTTAATCTTTAATTTCATTAAATTGAAAACTACAATCCGATGCATATATTCCATTTACAATTGCAGTTTTAAATTAATAATTTCATTAAAAAGTAGATACTTATAGGATAATTTATCAACAAAATAAAGTTTATTAGGTCAATTCCAATATTTATGCATAAAAAAGTATGCGATTCCAAGAAATTACATGATTATTCAAAACTGATTTATGCAACCTGCAGGACGTGAGCGTCAAACAGGCTGCCTATTTACTAAACTCGTACCGTGCGCTGCATTTCTCTCTCAAGTGCATGTCAACCACACCAACGACCCACATGTGATGCAGAGCAGCTCGCTGCAGTGCCATTTATTTTGGTGTCACTGAGCCCTCTTAATAGATCTGTGCGCACAGGCACCTGACGCCAATGAACGGCTCAATAAAGCAATCCACTGCTGCAAGCAAGAGAGTAGGAAACTTTTTTTCAAGATGGAGAGAGACTTTGTGCATCATTTGGGAAAAGTTTCTGCTCTTTTTACTTTGAACTCCGCGGGGGATGCCAAAGAAGAAGTGGGACGGAAAAGGTTGAATTCGGCTCAAGTCACGCTCGAGGAAAATTGTGCAAAAGCCGCTCAGGGCGGCAGAGGCGCCAAATCCAATTTGAATATACCTCACAAAACCTGGAAAATTCCGGCAAAAGTTTACTCTTACATGCATCTCATATGATACTAAATATTATGTAACCATGTTTTTTTAAATCATTTAAAATTTGTTTCAAAGAGGGCGCAGAAAAGAAAATTAGTTTATGGGAAGGGTCTGAAATGAAAAAGTTGATTTTTGCAATATTTTGTAAATAACTTGTGTTGAACACCTTTGGCGTTTGCTAATAAATTTATCTTTTAATTAAAATCTAGATGAGCGTTCTTAAATTTTTGTTTAAAACAGTCAAAAATATTGTTTAAATTAAAGCAAACCACGAGAAGAAGTTTCAAGTTTTTGATTGATATAATCTGGGACAAGAAAAAGCAAAATGTCTCTTTCCCAAGCGAAGCCGCCATTTCAATGAATGCCAACTAATTACAAATTGCTTTTCCTCACGGGATCCTCCCTGCAAATTAAATAACTGTATTGTCAGAATTCAATTTCTTTAGCTTGTTGCAAAACGCCATCATGTCTTTCCAAATCCAAGCAAAATTCACTTGCCTCGGTTTCTTTAAATTCTGAATAACCGGCTTTCAAAGGATCGAATCCCGTGTGGCATTTGTAATAAACTCAAGTGAGAACTCTCTTTTCCGGGAGAGACATAAAAGGAAAAATGTGTCGCACACGCACGCTTTCTGTATATTGCGTTCAGTTGGGTGAAATCCACTGAAAGGGTAAACAATTCCCAGTGCAATAAATTGGCCTCGCTTTACACACCCGTCCAGAGGCATGTCAACAAAACAGTCGCTGTGTCTCGAAAAAACACACTCCCTCATCTTTATGGCTCACAATTCCGTCTCCTTAACGCTTCAGTCGGGCAGAATCGAGAGATGGACTTCTTTTTTTCCTCACACACAAACGCATAGGGCGGCTCAAGACCAGATAGGATTTTCTCCGCGACGCGATTCCTTCTCGTTCCCTTTGAAGTCATGTTAGTTTTAACAATGCCGCGCACTTCTCTCCATTTTCCTTTCTCAAGGTGCAGCGTTTTCCGCTTTGGTGGCCGCAAAAATTCAATATCGCTCTCTTCTATATCAAGGTATGTTTGTTATCACCCAAACGCATTTTAGTTCCAAGTTCCAGAGACTGAAGAATTATATTTAATTGATACATTTCAGATGAAAAATAAAGGCAGAAGATGTCACGACACAAGATTCCATGCTATTTCAAGATGATCCAGCGGATATCGCTGCTCAATTTATTATTTGTATAAAAACACAAAAATTTATATTATAAATTGTATTGTACTTTGAAAAAAAAATTTAAATATCCAAAATAATTCTAAATAAAAACAAAATAAGTATAAAAATTTGTATATTTAAATGTAAACAAATAAATGTTTTTAATATTTTAATCAAGTCTATTAAAAATTATAACTATCAATAACTGTTAAACAAATTTAATTAGTTTGATAAATGTAATTTAAAAATTGATTATTTTACTTAGTTTTTAAGATTGCTATGTATGAAAATGTAATAAAAAATGTATAATTGTTGTTTAATTAAATTTAAAATGAAACTTAATTAATTTGCTTATTTTCTTGCAATTTTTTCCTTTCCCGTCCTAGCCTGCATTTGATTTTTTTTTAGATTGAGAGGAAAGTGTAGGTCGAGGTACACGCTTGAAAAAGCTAGCTAATGAGGAAAACATGATTTTAGTCATGTTCAGTGTGTTGCCGTTTTGACTTGATTTCTCAATTTAAATGTAAAAATTTATTCCAATTATTATTATTATTATTATTGATCTTTATTGACTTATGAAGCGTCGTTATTGAAAGTTAAAACGAAACGGGAATTTCAATTCATTTTCCGAGCATTAATTTCCAAGCTCAGTTACTGCATCCACGTGAAATTCCTTTAAAAAAATTATTACTGAGACTAGAAAAAAAAACACCCACATACTTACACAAATAAAATCAATATTTTATTTTAATCAAGCTTTTCATGCGTGATTGTCTTAATATTTAGAGCTTAAATTAATGAATTTCCGCACTAAACATAAATTTTTTTTCTGGTCAGAATCATGCCGCGGTCCCGAATGCATATGCAAAAATGTGTTTGTGTCATAACAGAGGTAGAACGTCAAACGGTTATATACCGTTTCCAAGCTCCTGGAGTGCTTTTCAAAGAGAAAAAGACGTCATATAATGAAACGACGTGCTTGAAAATTATGATCAAAATCCTTTTTCGCATTCAGATTTATTCCCAACACCGAGTTCAATTAAACGTAATGGGGTTTGGAGATGTGGGTCGCGTCAGCTGTGCAGCCTGCTCGCTTTTAATAGATGCTCGCACGCGGATTCCGTCCGTCGTTTGCTCGGTGCACTCTTTGTTAATTGAACGCCTTGAAGGCGAGCATTGTCAGCGCAGTGCCTCGTTTTCAATTACACGCTTTCCTTTGCAATCAGAACGATTCAAAATATCGCTGGTAATCGTCGCATTAATCACACCCGCGCTTCTGTTTAATTACTCCACAACAAAGGAGGAATAATGCGAGGCATAATTTGGACTGGTGTGTAATCATGCCTGTCACAATGGCGTCATTCATGTGAAAAACAATCCTGCTGAATAATGAAAATGTGACCTTTTTAACAAAAACCGGTGAAATTTGACATTTCCTCATTTTCTATTAACACAATTTTTTAATTATTTTCCATCAAAAACAGAAGCCCTTGTGTCTTATCATCACCCATACTAACACCGCTGCGTGCAATTTGAATATTCAGCAAAGTAGAATTCACCAAGCTTGAGTTTAACGGAATCTTAAATTTCCTCTCGCCACGAAAGTGAGCTCGAGTTTCACAGCGTCAAGCCAGAGATCATTTTCAGAACTCGCTTTCATGCTCGAGAAAACGCTGCTTTCCCCATTCCTGGAAAATTGAAGAAAAAGATTCACTTGAAGATTCGGCAGTGCATTTAATTTATTCAATTTGATTGTCCTAATCAAGATATCAATATTATTATCTTTTATAATTTCTCAGTCCGGTAAAAAAAACTATGTTTTTTCAACTAGTATTAAAAAATATTCCACGACCAAATCATCTTATTTGTTTTTATTAAATTGCACATTATATTTTACCTTTTAATTTATTTACCGTTTTCCACAATGACGTAATTTGTGTTAAAAAAAATATCTGCAAGAAAAATTCTCTGTTTTGCCTAGCGTGGTTTTCATTGTTTTTCATCTGTATTATTATTCAACCAGTTGGTTCAGTCGAGGGCAATTTTAGAACGACTTCGGCAGCAATTTATGGATCCACAATTCCACATGCGAACCAAAACCAGGGAAAGGCCGCGCGTCCAACAATCCCCACTCATTAGTCCCTCTGAAAGTCAAGGGTGAACAAAATTTCTCTCATTAAATCTGAAAAGCGAATCAACGCGGCGGGAGGG